GTTGACGTGGTGGGTTAGACTACTGCTGATGGTTGCTGATGCTACTACTGTTGATGGTGATGGTGAGTGGGGGGTGTTAGGTGGGTGTGTTTTGGATGTGTTTCACAATTTACCCCTCCTCCTAGTAAGTAGTAGGTAGTACTTCGTCTATTGAACTATCACTTGTTGCTTTGGTGGTTGGTATGTGTGTGTGTGTGGTGCTCTGATTGATGGTCTTTCGAGTTACTTATTGTAAGTGGTGGGTGATGGTTGTGGTGGGGGAAATGGAATGGATGAGATTATCCGACGGATCCGAGAGAATGCCGCCGTGATGAGGGGAACCCTGCTTGCCTCTTCTTCTCCTCGTTTATTGTTGCCTTGATGGATATTCCCGGATGGATGGATGGATGGATTGATTACTGTAGGTGGTTGGGATCACGATTCGGTTGTTTCCTACAAAGTTTACGGGGTACTTGCTGTGTACCTGTAAGACAAGTATCGCTGCTCGCAATCAAGGAATGGCAGGTTCCACTTCCAATTGCTAAGGATTGAAAGCTGACAATTTGAGACAGATTGATCTCATTGTGAGTAATCTTACTACTTAGTTACTGGGATAGATGGATAGATGCCTCAGGCTGAAAGTAATCAACTAACAATACTCCCATATGTTCAATAAAATCAATCCAGGAACATGCTCGACAAATCCTCATTAGTATACCGAGCATAAGCATACTACCACACCAATCTGAAACTAATTAGATAATAATTCTCCCCCTGATTCACTTACACCAAAACCCTACCCACCTTTGTCCTCACTACAAAGCATAGTAGTATACCATCTACCATCTACCAAAAATATCTACACATACAATCTAGATTCTAGGTTCCTCCCACAATAACTACACTATCACCATCTGACACAACTAGTTCCCGCCTCCCCCTCCCCTGACCTGGCCTGGCCTGGCCATTCCCTAGTTCATAGTTCTAGCCCTTCCAGAAACACCCTCCCGCGACTATTGATTTCAACTACGGGATCTGGGGCAGGAAAAAGGGGTAAATAACATACAGTAGTCAAGAATGTGGCTTGATGGGACTAAGACGTGTCCATTTATAGTATACTTATAGTAGATAGATGTGTATTAGTGCACGATTTCATGATCAACCACTATACCACTATGATGGTGTGACAAGTGCCATTGAGTTATAATGCTGACTTACAGTAGTAGTATATACTACCTGCACGCTCAGCTAATGGGGCTAAATTCCACAGTGTCATTCGGAGGATTCGGCTGACGGGCTAAAAGTTATGGCATGCATCATTACTACAGTTCATACATAGGTAAAATGGGTAAACGGATATTTTAGGTCTTGTTTAATCTACTGGGTTGGCATAATCCAACATCAGACGAATCGGTTCGTGGCAGCACCTAACTCCCCGACACAACAGCCAATCCTTCATAAATCTTCTGCTTCACAGCCAAGAAACTCCCTCCTCCTCGTCCTAGATTTGTCGACGCCGCAGACTGCGCTGATGCTTCAATCTCAATCCGCCCTGTCGCCGACTTCCGCACTGCCACCATCCCATCGATAAGGAGCGTTCCCTCGCCCCTGAATTCTGCCGTATGTCCAGCCCCTTGCATGATCTTGCGCAAATCTGCCAGCCGCAGGTCGCCCACATGGAGCGGCCGGGTCATGGACCGCGTCCCTGCCGCCATGTTGACCGGCAGCACATCCAGCAGTGGGTATACCTCGGACTTGTCGGCTGATGGTTTGGCCCCCTCCGGTGGTGCGTTCGTCGCGACCTCGGTGCTACCTCCTTCTTCCTTCTTCTCCTCCTCCAACAGTTTCGGCTTCTTGCTGGGGTTCTCTTCCGTAGCATCCTCCAGTACGGCCTGTTCCGGTCCCCGCAACTGTGCCGTCAGGGTGACCACTCCCAGGCTGCGTACGTGCTGCCACTTCAAACGCCGGACCAGGTTGTTGCTCAACTTGACCATCCATGCGTTGGTGTCGACGCTGGCGTCAACGACTTCGCCGTTGACTGGCGTGAAGATGACTGCCGAATCCGCGGCCGAAACATCCATTCCGGATTTGGCTGCCAGGAGCTTCTGGCATTCGGTCGCCAACGCGGTCGTCTCCTGTTTCATGCCACCAACCAGGATCAGCTTCCGGGGCTGGATAAGTGGGATGAGCATCTCCAGACTGCGCTTGTCGTGTAGTCCCGTAAAGTCCACGTATGCCAGCCGGGCATTTATTGTCAGTGTAGCCTTTTCGTATATTGCCTTCGCTGGCCCTTCGAAGCTCTGTCCTTCCACCTCATCCTCCGAGGATACCGCGGCATCCACTTCGCCGTCTTCGGCGAGGCTCAGTTCGTCAGCAGTGCTGACATCCCGTTTCTGCGCATCGCCAAGCGCTTGCCGTTTGGCGCCACTGCCCGACAGTCGACGTCCGTGGGGCGCTGTTTCGTCCCAGCGACGTTTCTGCCCCAGCTTGGTCTGGGAGTCGGTCCGGCGCTGCTGCATGTCGGCCTCCTCACGTTCCTCGGCACGGAGGTACTCCTCGGGCCGGATGAACTCGCCATACTCGTCCCCCTTCTTCCGCGGTGCCACATACGGGAACATGCGCTCGCGACCTTTCTTGCCTCGTACATCGTAGTCGTAGACATTTTTGCGTCGTAGAAGAATGTTGACGCCAAGGTCTTCATCGCTGAGGCCGAGCTTGTTTCGGTTGGAGTGTGCTAAGGAGGTCGAGAAGTTCAGGACGCGACCCTGCTGTTCCGTCTCCGAGTCTTCTGATGTAGAGCTTGACCGGTCATCGAGGGCGTCGGCGGCATTGTCAAGATTTTCTTGTCCTCTTGCTTGTGAGGTATCTTGAAGTTGTCGTTTCGTGGCCAGATACTGCTGGTAGAGCAACTGCTCGCCTGCGTCCAAAGGCGCACGTCGCACATCCGTCCAGGAGAGGTCCCGGCCTCCGCTGTGCACCTGTTCCAGCATCTCGCCATCCGATGCCTTTTCTAGAGCGACGCCATCCTTCCGTTCTTCATACCACTGCCAGATCATACTGCCGAGCGTCTTCCTGTGGGTGCTTTCCTGGCCCTCCGTAATTCTCTCCTTATGCAGAGGCTCCGTCAAAAGCAGCAGGTTGTTGGCACCTTCCGCCACCAAACGAAGAGAATCCTTTGCGAATCCCCAATCCAGCGACGTATCGGAAGCGAGGATGACCTTGGGCTTCTGGTCGGACAGAATCTTCTCTAATCGCTTTTTGCGTTCCAAAATTCGGAGATGTTTGAATGTAAAAGGCCCCACGCCCTTCCCTTCTACCTTGCCCTGATTCTGACCTGCACGTTGGCCTTCTGTATTTGACTGACCAGTCGCTGCATCCACACCCTCAGCCGCCTCAAACTCTCGCACGATATTCTCGTCCATCCACTCCAGCATACTCCTTGCCAGTCGCATCGTAGTATTAGCTTTACGGCCGGCCAGGTACAATCCGGCTCCTTTCAGTATATCGTCACCCTGGCCAGAGCCTGCCGCATCGCGCCAGGCATGTTCCAGTGCATAAGCCAGCTCCAGCACACGAGCGCTAGTATCCGTAGGAATCAGCACTGTACCACCCTTGGCAATGGTGCTCCGAATCATGTCCAGCAGCAAGTCATCCCGTTTCTTCCTGCCTCCGGGCAATGCAAACCGTTCGCCTCCCCTGGTGCTGCATACCAGCGCCGTAGGTTTGCGCAGCTGCTCAATGACCTCCGTTCCACTAGCACCGGAACCTCCAAACCAGGCAGCGCCCGCGACGACGCTCTCTCGAGCTTGGTTCCAGTCGACCGCATAGACAATTGACTCCATGCCATGTTGTACATGCCATATCGTACCACCAACGGTATGTCCAGCGTTGTATGCGGTCAGCGTAAGGCCGTTCAGGGGCGGGGAGAATGGTGACGGAAGCGGTTGGTGTGGTTGCGAGTATTTCAAAGGGTGTATCAAAGAGAAGTACCGGGCGATTTCTTCGGCGGTAGGAGGTTGGAGGAGGATGCGCCCGGCATGAGTAGCTTCGGCGCTTTCATCGCCTTCGGCCACCGACGCAGCAGCTGATGCTGCGGCCGTAGAAGCGCCGGGCTCGGAGATCGAGGCTTTGGGTAGAAATGTTGCGGCCAGCGGAGAAGAGGCGTATAAATCCTGTAGCAACGTGCGACCGAGCGCAATGACGGGACTCGTAGCGTAGACGGGGATTTGCGTGAAGAGAGGGAAGGTCTTGCAGCAATGGGCAAAGGCACCGATATGAGCGGGTGTAGCGTGGGTTAGAAGAATGAGCGACAGGGTCGGGACATGTCTATCATTATCATATTAGAAGACTGACTCCTCCGTTAGATATACAGGACTGCAGTGGTAGCTCACTTTTCAAGTTCCTGCAGGTCGAGAGGATCGAAGGTGTCATCCCAACCGACGTCCACAAGAATCTTGATCCCTCCATCAAGCTCGAGAATCGATTGTGAAGCCTTCGATGACGCAGACTGCGCGCCGAGAAGGGGGGTAAAGGTGAACATCTTGGCTTGGAGATTATCGTGCGCGGCGATCCCAGGGGAGCTGCAGTTGAGGCTGTCGCGGAGACTCGGGAAGCGCTCTCACTTAGCTCATCGATCCAGACGGGGTAACGACGAACAGATGCGCGACCAGTTGGCAATTATCGTAACATATCCAAACTATTGAGCAGCATTCACTAATATGAAACAATGGCTGAGTGCGAAGGATGCTGATGCCGCTGATTGTTTGGTCGACATCGGCAGACACAAAGCAGCATCACATCACGGGTCTTGTTTGTCCGGTTTGCAGTATTTTCTTTATCGGGTAATCATAATGCAGATCATTTATATAGTACTATTGTCGAAGTATACACAGACACAAACAATAACAAGCATGGTGAATAATGCTACAAGATATGCTAAATACACACGGACATATGCTTTGCCTCATTTACTTCAAGCTTTCTTAGTCGCTTTTGCAGCCTCTTTCCCCTGGGACTTGGCCATGGCCCGCGTTTGCATTCGCCGCGGTGGCGATGCTGGTTCAGCTTCCCTTGCTGCAGGCCCCGTTGATGCTAATGATCGTACTGAGCGTGTCGATCGTTTTGGTGCCGCTGAGCTTTTTGGTGCCGCTGAGCTTTTTGGTGCCGCTGAGCTTTTTGGTGCCGCTGAGCTTTTTGGTGCCGCTGAGCTTTTTGGTGCCACTGAGCTTTTTGGTGCTGCTGAGCTTTTTGGTGCTGCTGAGCGTTTCGATACTGCCGATCGTTTCGGTCCTGCTTCCTCTGCCGCAGCTCCTGCTGATGCTGGTGGCCGTGGTGAGCGCGCTGAGCGTCTTGGTGATGCTGAGCGTGCTGGTGGTTCCGAATTCTCCGGTTCTGTAGCCCTCTTCCTCTTCGTCGCTTTCGCTTTTCCCTTCTTCGCTGGTTCCACTTGTGCTGGCGCCGCCTTGGGTAGCGGAGGCGGAGCCCTAGGTATCTGCTCAAGTTGACCTGGAGCCAGAGCAGAATGCAAACTGCTTGGGCTCACTCCGCCCCAATTTCTCATCCGGTGAAGTATATCTTGAGGGTAATATTCATCGTAGTGATCATGCATGTATTGCGTGCTGTCATTTACCTTGGAAATTACTCTTGGAATGATTGGTCCCTGAATCGGCGGTCCCTGAACTGGCGGTCCCTGAACTGGCGGTCCCTGAACTGGCGGTCCCTGAACTGGCGGTCCCTGAACTGGCGGTCCCTGAACTGGCGGTCCCTGAACTGGCGGTCCCTGAACTGGCGGTCCCTGAACAGGTGGCCCTTGAATAGGCGGTCCTTGAATAGGTGGTCCCTGAATAGGCGGTCCTTGAATAGGTGGTCCCTGAATAGGTCGACTCCTCCGTGAGCCAGCTTCCCCACCTTCAATCCGACGTTGTTGTTCTCTTATCTCGTCGACCGGCTCGATCAAAGCCGGGTAATTGTCGACATGTGGCCCTATCATGTTGCTCCATCCTGTCCACCATGGTGGGCGGGCTCGAGCCTCTTGTATCGCTAGAAGTCTATTTCCATTGAGAGGTTCTTGTAGCAGCTGCCTCTTCGGTTCCGATGTCGATCCTAATACCCCAGTAAGTACTTGCGGCTCTGCTAGACCTTGCCGTAGCTGTCTCGGTCTTTCCCTCGCTAAAGCTTTCGCACCTTGTCTTGATGGCCTGTCGGGCGCTCCTCCTCGAGGCACTAGATTCCCATCAGCCAGACATTTCATCACTTTCAGAAGGGGAAGTCAACAGTGTCTGTACCTTGTTGCGGTACTCCAAATCCATATAACTGGGGATCGGGGGGCGGGTGAGGATGGATGTCTGGGTCATATTGTTCATAGACTACCACATTACCCCCACGAGCTAAGCACATGGCCAGAATTAGCACATCAGAAAGAGTTCCGGAATGTATAACGCAAGGGATACATGAAGAATGTGAGCAAATCCTTCCCGTAAGCCGCAATATCTGAGAGTAGCTCGTATATATCGCCAAACAGGTTTGCTTATAGCGACTTACGCCGCTCCGACAAGACATATATTACATCATCTGATAACTTTGAACACGTACAAAAAGAGGCATAGGAACATGCTCAACACAAGTAAAGTGACAACAATCCAAATCCATTTACACTCACCCTGATTTGTGACTCCACCATCATCCGCAATGTATGGCGGTTCTTGGACCATGTACTCAGTCGGCGGCATGTCTATTCCGTTGTTTGGGTCATTTTCCTGTTGGGGAGGGTTATTATGCATGGATAGCATCTTTAATGTTCCTGCTAAGTATCGACTGTGTCCTTCGGTTGGGGACTTTGGCCGATGGACCTTGTTCTTGGGGGCCTGTGTGAATAAAGGCGGCCGCTTGTATGAACTATAATTGTAACCTTCACCTGTGCCAGCCTGAGTCGGTACTACCATCTCACCAACGGGCATTTGTCGATGATACTTCTTGCCCTGAGGCCCCTCTGTCCACGTTGGCGGGACGACTGGTTCTCCATATGGTCGAGATCTTCGCGTCCCCAGATGTAGAGGTTGGAGCCTATTGCTCGTATGGCTAGTTGGCTGTTTAGCAGCGACATCCTGCAACTCTCTGGCAGCATTGGCCAGGATGGCCCCCCGTCCTGCCGAAAGCCTCCCGGTACCACTTGACATGGTTTCAGGTTCCGCATTGACATACTCCACGTGTTGGTCCCCTGGTGGGTTTGCGTCAAGGGAAGTTCTCTGCGACGGATCCTCGAGCCGCTTGCCGGGTTCTTCAGACATTGCTTATCAAGTTGCTGGAGTGGTGGATGTGGATAGCTTGAACAAAAGTATAATGCTCACGTACACACTGGAAGTACGCCTCGTAGTTTATATTTCTCAGAATGCGAGCCCAAAGGCTTGTAAGCTCAAGATGACTTGGAAAACAATATGGTCAGCCTGGACACCCCGTGCGGAGCGATGGTAGTCAAATATATCTGGGACAACTTGCATTATCGAAGGGGTTCATTCACGCTAGGTTTCGAATGAACTTCCTTTCACCTATATCGATCGAAGTAATTGATTCAACAAAAATAGAACAGGCGCAATGTATTCCTCTGTCTTTGTTGGACACTTCTTTGTCCCTGAAAGCATCAAGAAGAACTTCCCACGAGGCGAAAATTGCAAAGTGAAAGATCTATAAGCCGGCGTCAGCATTGTCAGTAACAAAGCCAATCGATTTCGACGCTAAACTTACCTAAACCTTCGTATACCCGCCGAAGTCTGAGCAAAAGCACTCATGCACTTTGCTGCAATCTTCAGTTTGAAGGAGCAAGTCTCTCGCAAGTTGTGCTGTTGATCGGATAGTTAGTTCAGTCTGAACAGAAAAGTCCATCACTTTGAGTTCGCTGAGCATCCAACATACAGGGACGGTAAATCCCGCGAGGACAGTAAAAAAAAGTCAGATATCGTCTCTCCATGGCCATCATCACACCTGTCAGATGGCCTCCTGGCCTTTCCAAAGTACATTTTCAGCACATTTCCGCCCTAGAAGATGATCGAAGAAATTTCCTTCTTTTCTTGCATTGTTGCCTGATAAAGGTCAAACAATCTCTATCTAGGGGAGGCAAAACTGGGACGAAGATCAACAAAGAAAGTCAAAGTACTCGGTACATTCCTCGGAGGATTCCTAGCGCTGCTGACACCGAATGACTGGTAAACTAGCAATGGAAAGTGCTTACTTGCCTCAGCGTTAGTTTCTATTGTCGTTGGAATGTTCTTTTGTGGGTAGCTTGAGTGTTGATCTTAGTCAAAAGATTTTGTTATGGTGTGATATACGTTGTACTTGGTAGGGCGTGCTCGCTGGTACTCGTCCAGGACAATGATTCAACACAACCGGTATCAGCTGGAATCCGACTTTATGATGTGACTGGCCTGTATGCTCTGATAGGGTTGCCTGCTCTAGAAGTATCCTCAAGAAACAATAATGATCTTGGCAGCTGACCAGCTCAGAGCTTCGCTGTAAAGACCACCAGCATCGCGTACCTTGTCATATAGATTATGTCACATCGACCTAGCGAACATGCTTAATTGGCGGTTTCGCATTCCACAGCTCAGTCAAGGATGGCACTGAAGGTGAAGGTCAGTCCTGGACTACGTTCCACAGAACGAGGGGCAGGCAGTCAGGCAGGCAGGCAGGCAGGCACGAGACCAGGGCCCTCAGCTCCTGCCATCCCCTTACTACTAAGTTTACAACCCAACAGCAGGCAAAGCGCAACCCCGCCGTCCCTGAGCCTGGTAGTCCGTACAGCACTTCACAGTGCACCTTCGCTGCGGATTTGTTGCACAATTTCGACTTTGAATAGAAGAATAAGGGAAAGATGACATTATGTACGATTTAAGAAAAAGACCACATATGATCACTGCAGGCAATTGGCCACGCAATGCTGGTATGCTTGTCGTATGAACTATACTCAAGAACAGTGTATGGAAGACATTCGGCGTTGCTCAGAGGTATCTGGAATGATGTGCCCCTTCAATCGAGAGCTAACACTCATTGCCAGTAACGGGGCTCGTCAAAGACATGGTACCGATGACCACGAACTCCCTGGCCGCGGAACAATGCAGGGAATCGACGGCCTTCAGGGACCATTTCCTCGGGGATACGCATTTCATTTTCCGGTTCCGGCTCGCCAATCACGAATTTACCGACCTATTAAGAACAGCTGGTTAGAGTGGAAGGGATCGTGGAAGTGAAATAGGCCAAAGGAGCATACCTGGATCTCAGTGTCGGTGATCGAGTCACGGCTAACTCTTGCGTAGCCTGTTCTCTTCAACCTCTTGTACAAGATGTACTCGCACCAACGGTCCCAGTCCGTGGGATCAATGTCCTTCATGCCACTGATATCACTGACATAAGTGTTGTAGTTGCCCTCGAGCGGTTTGGTGACCAAGTAGCTCAGCAACACCATCGGACGAGACGACGAACCCATCAGGTTGGACAAGTACTCCGTTTGCAGACGACGGTCTTCCGGATCCTCCTCCTGACCCGAATGGAAGACCACAACATCAACAAGCTCACCATACATGTCCAAAGTGGCGTGGATGGCGGGGGCAAGCTCACCAACAGGTGAAGGGAGTAGGTGATGGGTGGAATTGACAATGGGGAATTTGGAGAGCAAGGCAGATCCCCAGGTGTGCTTGTTGGGACCCGGTCCAAAGTCCGCGTACATGCCCAGGTCGTCCGCCAAGAATTGCGTAACGTCACGGTTGCCCATGATGATGCGTTGGTTGTCTGACTCAAGCAAGCCGATCACATCAAGCTCAAGCTCCTGGATTACATCGCGCATGCGCCGCTCAGATGCCCACATATCGTTATCGAGGCCGAAGTGGATCGTCCAGATGCCCATGGTGGCAACTTTGTCGTCCTTGTGATAAGGAGTGTAGTCATTAGTGGGGAAGCGGAGGTATGCGATGGAGACGGAGAGCAGTTGCAGGAGCGCGAGGACGTAGATGAAGTATGAACGCTGTCTTCTGCTGTTGGGGCTAACGGCCTTGATTTTCGGGCTGGAAGCGTTCGACACACCCGCCGAGAATACACCAGCGCCAATGGACAACATGATGGTGATCACGACCCAATCCGTGTGCTCTCTGACGAGGTATCCACCAGGAACAAAGGCGTAAGCAACGACCCAAACGTGGAACAGAATCAAGAAAATGTACAAGACGCAGCCCACACCGAACGTAGATGCAGGAGAATGTCTAACGGCCGAGGAAAGGAGAACGGGAGTCACGGCCAGGAGGTAGAACGTGAGAACGAGACCGCCATAGTATCCGGTCCAGTGACTGTAGCAGGTAAGGAAGGTGGCACCCAGAGAGCCAAGTCCGAACGCTGTCCAACTACCGGCCACAGAAGGATAAAAGAGGCCGTAGACGAGACCAGCACCCATGGTGAAGATGGTGACGGCACCGTGGGGAGCCGCGATGGGGCCCCGCACCGGATAACCCTCCCAGACCCAAGACATCATCGTACTAGAGTCTGAAAGAAGGTAGTGCATGGCGAACATCAAACCACCAACACCTAGACCGGCCAAGAACGGAGAGCCCTTCTTTCCACTCGACGGCAGATAATCTCCTCCGCTCGTGGCAGGTCTACGGTAGGATCGAAGGACAGCCAGGACGGCGAGAAGAAGTCCAAGCTTGTTCCATCCACCGTTCTGAGCGTGCATGATTGGCCACAGGGGGTTGTTGGTAGCGCATGCGAACTTGGCGACGCTAGACAGAATCAAACCGATGCTCCATGAAAGGATACGGGACTCCAATCTGACGTTGTTCGCCCTCTCGGCATACAAGCTAGCGGCCCAGGTCACACAGCTGCAGACAACGGCGAAGCCCATAACGAAGAGGCGGTTGGCAGGGTCTTGCACCTTATATGCCAGGAGTCCGGACAGCGAGAGCAGGTGGAAAAGGCGAGGGTTCTTGATTGCCGCAGATTTAATGGCCGGGATGCCGAGGAGCAAAGGCGAAAGGTAGCAGACAATGGCTGCCTCATATCCGGAGATACCCATGTGCCAAAGGGGGAAGTCTACATCCAATCAGATATGCGATCCTGCAGATAAGAAACGCACTACTTACACCAGACGAGAACGGGAAGGGCAGTGCAGAGGGTCCAGAAGACGAACTACAACTTATCAGCAACCACATAATTTGAGGGAAAGCCCAATCTGAAGCGTACCCCATTGTAGACGTCTGCAGCAGCATCGATGATTTCAGACCAGAAAAAGCCCTCGCCAAACGTATTTCCGACAGGCTTGCCCTTCCTGACTACGAGTTAACTGCCATGTTCAGGTTAAGTCTGGAAATCAGATTGTACACACTCTTTTTCAAGGACAGAGTCCGCAGTGGTCTTCAACTGCCTGGAAGTTTGCGAATCTTAGATCACGTCTTTCAAATACCGACAACCATCTTTTGGCGACTGTACATTTTCCTCTCTTGCTCTGCATTACTTTGGAAGCCATTGTACATACCCTCTGCTAACCCCCTTGACATCCCTCACAACAATCTCGAATGCGTCAAAGTCAAGAGCTGTGACGGCATCGAATCCGACATCAAACAAAATAAGCGACCACTCGAAGAAGGCGTATCTCGTGTAAGCTGGCCAAAGGTTAACAATCTCATCCACAGCAGCAGCAGCATCCATGCAATCTTACCCCCAGGAACCTTGTGCACTTTGTGTTGGATGAAGTAGTAGATCAGTGGCACCAGAGTGCCAAAGAACAGGCTGGCCAGAATCTTGCGGTACTTGACAGCGCGGCGGTTGTTCGGGCTGAGGGCGAGGCAACCGAGAGTCCAGGGCAAAGTTGCCACCAGGTACGAGATCATGAAAATATCGTGCCAGTCGTGATCATCAGTCGAGGTAACATAAGTCCAGCCTCCGCACGTGAATGTCCGGAACAAGCCCACACCAGCGACCAGCTTTGGCAGGGCGGAGTTAGGGCGGGCAGTCAGGAGGTACCAAAGGAAGACGAGGGCGAAACGAGGACCAGAAGTGATGGCAATGAAGACTTGGAAGAAAGAGCGTTCAGGATAGCGATCACCGATGGTGGCCGACACGGAAGGGAACCATTCATCAGGGTAGCCGTAGTGTTCGTTTTGGACGATCTTGTGGAAATGCAAGGACATTCCCACTACCAGGGCACTGAAGAAGGCCGTGTAGGCCACAGCCGTATGTGCCCAAGAGATCCATTTTCCATTGACCTGAGAGATGGTCAATTAGCCTGACAAACCGCGAAGCGCAGAGACACTAACCGCCACAACGGCATCCCCATCTTTATATCTGGGTGCCATGGCAGCACAGGGAGGCACCGAGCACGGACTCCGGCCAATTAAAAGAATAAGCTATAAAGAAACAGACTAAGGGGGATATAAATGAGCGTCA